AGTGAAACGACTTCCCAATTTACAGTTTCTATCGCCTTAGAAATCGTAGTCTAATAAAATAAATTATTATCCTACGTAGATTTTTTTTGCACAATATAGTTATTTCGAAAAACCTGTAATTACTACAAACAGCAGTCGAAATTAACCAAAAAACAAGCAATAAAATGACCAATAAAATGTTTCTATCAAAGATGGCCGACTTAAAAAAGCGCGGCACAGTTTGGCGCCATTTTTTCTTTTATTTTTATAACGAGGAGATTAAGAAATATCGTAAAACCAACAGTGGGCGTAAAATATTTTGTTTTTTGGTAAAATAATATATGTTTGGCGCCTTATAAGGTTAGCATTAAGTCATTATAGGCTGTTAGGTCAGGTCAGTTTGATGAAAATTTTTGTTGAAAAAAAGTAAAATTAGTTTTTAGTTGTGTTGGGATTAAACCTATTATCGTTAAGCCTAAAACTTGCGATTGAATATATTTTTCTAATTTACGTGCTAAAAGAAGATAAAACATCAAACCATAGAGTTATGACAGATAACACATAATTATATGAATACAGATAATAATTTTATTTTGTTTATCTACAGAAACTGGCTTCAATAGAAAATTTCTTAAAAAGATCGCTATCATTTTTCTAACTTGATTATCAGACCATCATTAATAAGAATGGAGAATCCATTCTTGGTAATGATGTACTCATCAAAACAAATCAAAAAAGCACAATTCTAAGGGTCTAGGATCAACTATCTAGCTCCATCATCAGATCAGCGCCAAGATACGAAATTAAAGTGTTATCATCCAAAATATATAACTATACAATCAAAGATCTACCTTGCTTGCCTTTTCTCAATTAAAATAAAAGTATGTATGTTCTTTTTTTGTAACTAAGTTGCCAAATAAAAATATAAGGCCTAATGGTTATTGCAGTCTATAAACCAGTGTTACCACTTGTAATTTGACAGCTCTTAAACCTTCCTGCCATAAACAACAACCCATTTCCATAACAAAGGCAAATAGTACTAACCTGTCTATGATAACAAACCTTTCTTTTGAACTCAAGCAACACGATAGTATTAAAATAATTGTGGCAAAATATTTATAGTTTTTACTATTTCAATATAATTATGTTAGGTTAAGATCCTCTTAAAAAACAAAGAAATTTAACCCAAAACAAACAAGCCACCGAACTATAATTCATTATTACACGCCAAAACTATATTGCTAACCGCCAAATTCTAACCGAAAAATATCTATAATCGGGAATCGAACGCGTACCCAATAATCATGCTTAATCATGGGTAAGATTGTTTGCTCAGCTTTGCTTTAAATTGCGTATTGCGTAAAAAAGTGTTGTGAAATGGTGCTTCCTTTCTGAAGTTTCAATAAAAAAAGTTATACAATCAGACCTGAGCCCTGAGTCCGGCTTGAGTAGAGACATAGAGTTTTTAATTTCAAAGTAAACTAACTCTAAACTAACTAACAACTCCTCCATATATTCTACACAGGTCAAACTAAAAATCACACTATAATGATAAACCAAATTAAAAAGTCAAAGAGAATAATAACAATATAATGGACATCAGACACACAACGCCATCTAGTTTCAAACTAAACAGAGCTTGTACCATGAAAGCTAGATTGACTTATATACTTTTTTTGTAAATATATACATATTATACTTTTTTTTTTGTAAATACCCATATTATTGCGGATCATACAAACATTTGGTCCGACCCTCGAATCGAATCCACACCTCAGCACAGCAGTCGGATACGCTGCCACTGCACCGCCGAGGCAGTCATTACTGTTATTAATATTATTGGCTATGGTATAGAGGAGCAATCAAGCAGACGGGTCACCTGGAGGGACAACAGGCGGGAGATCAAAGTAGCGTGGTTTGTCCCTTAGTCAGCTCTTACAACACCATGGTATGAATACCGCTATTCATACCATGGTGTTGTGAGAGCCGACTAAGACACTTCGTATTCTTAATCCTACACCACACAGATAGATACATGTGATGTTCGCTTACCTTAACGGCCTACGGTGACGTGGTATGTAGTTTCAAACCGAATGACAAACTTAACGGTGCTTTGTGATACTCTTCAAAAAATCTAATCTACTGTTGCAAAACAAGAACGAACCACATTGTGTGACCAAGTTAAAACGTAACATAATGCAGCAAAGTTAAAACGTTCTGACGTCATTCGTTACTAACAATAAGAATTAAATGCTTAAGTTTGTACACCTACGCAAAATTTGTCACAATGTCTCATAAAACCTGTTATATTACGAATACTTAACAGTCTGATAAAATAAAGGTCCACTTCTAATTATCCGTAAAAGAGCCCTATTAATAATTACCCCAGAACATCCAAAAATAAATATTAACTAATAATATCAGTTATTACACCCAATATTTTTTAAACCATTCTAATTTGTATATTTTTTCTTGTCTATGACAAATTACTATTTGCTTTATGAAGCGTTATAATTATCTGTTAGCTATACTTTAAACATTCTAATTCTGAAACATTTAAAACAAACTTAAAATTCATAAATATAAGGCCCAAAATCAATTGTTGCAACTGTATTGACATAACTTTCATCGTCCTGCGGTGTTCTTTTTTCAAATATTGCAAAATCATTTTATTTTAATCAAATATAAACTGTAAATCTATGAAATAAAGTACGAAATAAAAAGATTTATTCTAAAATAAAAGGTAGAAAAATATTTGCAATACATCATTTTGCGGTTAGCGACAAAGATAAGTTCAGTGGCGTGCGGTGGGCCTGCGCCTGCGCAATGACTTGTGGAAACTATTGTTCGCTATCTATTTGTCATATTAGTGATTGCGGTCCCTTTGTCTGTCTGTCCTGTTAGTTTTTGTTTGTTATAATTATTATGGTTATGATATTTTAAAATTGAAATTTGGGTGTCTTCCGTGGTGAATAATTATTTGTTTGTGTACTTCCGACGTCGACAAAATGTAGGCGTATAAAACAAAATGCTATTATTTGTAAAATTATCATTCGAAAAAGTTTTTTTTATATCTTCTGTTGGTCATAAGTTGTCGTTTCGGTTTTCATACGTTTGTGAGGTTCTAGGCTCGATACCGATATGGTATTAGGTCATATCTTCCAAAAAAATTCAGTCGCACAATAGAGAACAAAACAGAGAGATGTGCCCAGCCAGATGTAGGCTCAGAACTCTCGCCTTAAACACTTGAGTTAATCTGACTCTCAAGTTTTATAACAAAACAAGTATTTATCATCATTATCACCATTAACAGCCCTTAACAGTCCACTGCTGGACATAGGCCTCTCCTTACAATGGAGGTTTTGGCCTACTATACCACGCTGGCTAGACGGTTTGGTTTTAGTTTTCCTTGTATTTGCAGTGCTATTGTCCTGCGTAGTTTTCTCCCGTGGTCGGCTCTTACGACACCCACTTACTTTAATTTTAAAATTCATGAAACCCTTTTTCTCATCAAAAGATTACAGATTGAAACAAGTTGGTATACACATACATTCGTTTTAACAGCTTTTGCCCGCGGCTCCACCCGCGTGTACGTCAGTTATCGCAGTAAAAGTAGCCTTTCTTCCTTAAAAAGCTAACTATCTGACTCCCAATTTCATAAAAATCGATTCAGCGGTTATTGATTTTCCATTCAAACTTCCACCTCCCTTTTCACCCCCCTAAAGGATGATCTCTGGGATAAAAACTATCCTTTGTTCTTTCCCGGGACTCGGACCATCTCTATACCAAATTTTATCTGAATCGGTTCCGCGGTTTAAGTGTAAAAACGTAACAAACAGACAGACACACTTTCGCATTTATAATATTAGTATACATTTCCATTACGTGTTGTACTTAACCTACAATACAGTGTATTTATGAATACAAGTATTTAAATATACCTACAATACAATAAATACAGGTTGAGATAAATACAAAAAAAATAAAAAACCACTCGCTGTTTTTCATCTCAAAGGATTTTTTGAGATCGCGTGACCGAACCATCCTTGAAGCATACCTACCTACTTACTTTTACCTGCAACTCCTGCAAGGGCAATACCGTTTTGTTTCCGAAGTAAGGTCAGAAATCCTTTGATCTCCGGATATTCTGTAACTCTTGTAAATGATCGCCGTAATGATGGTGTTTTTTCATCTTTTAGCAATATACGATTTAAAACATGTTCTTACAGATTTTGAAAAAGAGATTATGTAAAATAACTTAAAAATGTTTTCATTCAAATGGACTGTAAAATTTTGTCCTGAGTCTGAGTGTTCTTTGTGTCCTTTTCATGTATGTTTGTAAAGTCCCCCGCGTGACATGATATATGCCTAGTGGGGGAGTTGTCTTTTTAAAAAAAAATAACCGACAGCGCTAGAAGAAGGGTTATGTTTTTCAAGTGTATGTATTTATGTAGGTATGCATATTTCTTAGGCATGTTCTGCCGCATAAAGGTCTTTGTGGATTTTCCCACCCAGGACAAATATTGTTTGATGAGCACGGTCATTTGTTCTGTATCTGGGTGTAACTTATCTATAATATGTATGTATTTAAAAATATATACCTAAGTATGTTTATTAGCAGTCTGGTTACCATAGCACAGGTTCTGCCTAGTTTGGGATCAGACGGCCGTGTGTGAGATGTGTGAGGTATATTATTATTATTATTATAATTACATCATAGAAATACAGGTAAGTGAACATTCTTTGAAGTCCTGCAAGCTTTACTAACGGTTTCGTATGTGAAACCTACCCTTTTTTTGTTTTTGTTTTTCCTTGCGGAAATCCCCTCGGATACCACCTATCGGTGGCATGTCGGACTCGAACCGACTAAAACCGCACGCCGTCTCGGGTACTAATAGCCGGGGAACCAGGTATACCTTAGAAAGGAAGTCCCTGGTGCCTGTGAAACCTACCCTAGCTCCCTCGCTCTACCGTTTCCTATACTCCAATTTATCTTCTTCTTTTCTCTTATCTGATAATGATTACATTCTCAAGGAGGTTTGGTCATCCGTGAGATCAACCAAAACCCTTTGCAATATTACATTAAGTCGACCTGAAAATATTATTACCGTTATCTTTATATACCTACCATATCATATCAGATTATTATTAATAATTATGATTTGTACGGAGAAAAAAAAATAGGCTAGCAATGAAAATGTTCTATTTTTGCTTACATTTACGAGGGTGTAAGCAAATATAGACGATTTTCATTTAATAAGTATCATCATCATCATCAACAGCCATTACTAATCCACTGCTGGACATAGGCCTCTCCTTAGAAAGGAGGGTTTGGCCTATTATACCACGCTGGCCAGACAGGTTGGTATAGGGTTTGTTTCAAGTTTTCCTTCTCTTTGCAGTGCTGCTGTTCTGCGTAGTTTGTTCCCTTAGTCGCCTCTTACGACACCCGGGGGATGAATCGGGGTGAAATAAGTATCAAATACTTAAAATTCAAAATATTAAAAGCAATATATGGTGATAATACATGTAAATAAATAAAATATGCTATTAAATAATAATAATTTAAAAATATTGTGACTGAAGATTATGCATGTAAATTTAAACAGTGATTCTATGTACTACTATTTTAATTTTACAATCTTGTTTTGGGAATTAATGGCAATATTATATTATTATTATTATATGGTGATAAAGTAGAAATGATACTATCATGTACAAAGGTCGACTTGGAGAAGGTTGGAAATTAAACACTGGATTAAATATTAAGCACGTATAATATTCCGTCATAATGCTTGATGTTTTCATGGTTGATGTTTTACATGATTCTGTTTTACATGCTTCTGTTTTACATGCTTCTGTTTTACATGATTCTGTTTTACATGCTTCTGTTTTACATGCTTCTGTTTTACATGATTCTGTTTTACATGCTTCTGTTTTACATGCTTCTGTTTTACATGCTTCTGTTTTACATGCTTCTGTTTTACATGATTCTGTTTTACATGCTTCTGTTTTACATGCTTCTGTTTTACATGCTTCTGTTTTACATGCTTCTGTTTTACATGCTTCTGTTTTACATGCTTCTGTTTTACATGCTTCTGTTTTACATGATTTTGTTTTACATGCTTCTGTTTTACATGCTTCTGTTTTACATGCTTCTGTTTTACATGCTTCTGTTTTACATGCTTCTGTTTTACATGCTTCTGTTTTACATGCCTCTGTTTTACATGCTTCTGTTTTACATGCTTCTGTTTTACATGCTTCTGTTATACATGCTTCTGTTTTACATGCTTCTGTTTTACATGCCTCTGTTTTACATGCTTCTGTTTTACATGTTTCTGTTTTACATGCTTCTGTTTTACATGCTAAAATACAAAAAAGTGATCAAGTAGGTAATAATATGACAAGCAGTGGCTCTTGACATCTAGCGCCTCGAAAATACAATTAAATCTATTTAATAAACTATATAAGACCAAACTGAAACAAAAAATCAATTGATCTATTTGAAGATCGCTGGAAGCAAATAGTATCTCTACATTTACTTCTGAATGTACTTTGTACAGGTTGATGTTAAATAGATAGGCATATTTTATTTTTTACTCAATTTTCATATTATTTATCTTACAGTTAAATGTGTGTTCAAATTTGAAGAATTACCATTTCAGTTTTGCTAAGATTATTTTTTACCAAAAAGTAAAAAAAAATATAGCGTTGAAGTTCCTATAACTTATTCTGAGATAGAACTTGAATGTTTTTTAGAAATTGGACAAATTTAGTTTTATAGTGAATTTAATATATTCGTTGTGTTTTTAGTTTCGATAAAATAGAGGATATTATCAGAATGTGTAACAATGTTTGCCTAGTTGTGATGTCATTGGGTGCATGTTTTGACTAGTAATTATTTTACTTTATAAATTTATTACGTACCTATTTGTTTCAAATTTTTAAATAGTTTCTGAAAAATATGGACCTGAGTTTTGTTAACTTACGTTTACGGTGTTTCGTTTTATTTTTCAGACATTCTTTGAAACTTTTAAACAATGTATAAGCAAGTATACTAAAACCAAGGATAATTACAAATAAACTTAGTTTAAAGAAATAAACATGCCCGTATGTGACATTTAAAACTCAAACGAACAGAAGACCAGACAAACATTTGTTCATCGATTATATTAATAACACAAAATAAACTTTGATTGAGGACCATTTTATGATTCTACCAAAGTGTTGATTTTACCCTCAGGGGCCAATTTACACCTCTATCTAACGTAACGTACGAATACACGTCACGTTTACGTTATTTGTGCAATATAATTTTAATTCAAATATTTTTGAAACTTGTAAGCCTTCGTTTTGAGTTTAGATTCTAAGGACTTCTGACATGAGGTTACATGAAATGGGTTTTTTAAGAGTAATTTTAACGGCACGGGAGCTGGATTTGATATAATTTTGTATTTTATTTTAATCAGTATACTTTTGGCTCCAGGCAAGGGCGAAAGTGGTTGAGGATTTGCCTTATTTATTAAAATAGAACTCAACTTAAACATGAGTCAAACAAACTTAGATGGATAAGACATTTTAAGTGTCTAAATATTAATGCGTTAAGTAAAACATTTGTTTTAAACAAAATATAATTGGACCTGTTGGTCTAGTGGTAAGTGAAAATGATTGCTGGTGGTGGTGACCTCAGACCTCACATGGCCGTCTGATTCCAAACTGGGCAGAGCCTATACTATGGTAACCAGACTACTGATAAACATACTCATATATTTTTAAATACATACATATTATAGATAAATTACACCCAGACACAGAACAAATGACCGTGCTCATCAAACAATATTTGTCATGGGTGGGAATCGAACCTGCTTAGCAGTCAGGGGCACTGACCACTAGACCAACAGACTTTCTTTCGCGAGGCGATGTCTAGTCTTTAGGTCTATGACGCTACACACCCTGCTGTCTTTAAAAAAAATTAGCAACTACTAAATATTAACACCAGTCATGACCCAGATACTATTGATCAGATAATACCATTCATTCCTCAACTATTTACGAAATAACCTCAACCAGGTGGTTATTTTGACCTTAAATTACCGAAACAGGGCACAATGCTTGCTCTCATTACAGCTCCTTTCAGACCATACAAAAGCCTTTAAAATCAGGTTGCAGTTTCTTGTAATTTTTCCCCGAGATTTTTGAATGATACAATTGACTTCAAGCCACTTGAACAGGAATGTCAAACCTTACTGACAGCTTTTTATTTAACTTGCAATGTTTGCTTGTTTGTTGTATTCAAACGATTTAGCTGAAATTTTGCATACACGTTTAGTCTTTAGGGTGTAATGTTACTTACGGTTGGTAAGACGCAATAAAGCAAACAATCGTTTTCACCGGTATAGTTTTAATATTCGCACTACACACACGACACAAAGATTACAGTTTACTTAGAAGACACAATATATATCTATCTATAAATTTGCTCCATAGTACAGGGTCGTTCATATTACATTAATCAATTATTTCATGGCTACCTAGAAATCTTTCGATGCATTTTAACAAGTGAGTGAGGTTGGTTTCTCTGAAACTTCCCCCAAACAACTACTGAGAATTACTTAGAAGTGGGGCTATAGTATTCAAAACAGCATAGAGGAGTCATATCAGTCAATTGCATGCACCTGCTGTACTGTACCGTACTGTATACCGAGGATTCCAAAGGGCACTACCAAACTTCAATGTACTCCTCACAAGTGTTTTATAAAGAACAATTATTGATGCTTCTAGGCTTCTCATAGTTGTTTTACTTTGCAATCACTTACTATTAGGAGACCTGATCCTTCCTTTGCTACCTTTACCACAAAAAAATGGTATATAATTGTGGTGTTTAATGCGAAAACCAATGGCAACAGATGGGGCTTTGGCGCGTCCCGAGCGCGTGTCAGGAAAACGGTAAAATAATCGTTCGCGTGTATTTTAACCTCATCACTTCAACTTCGTGTTTCAAATACGCCAATCGTTTTTAATACAGTTGCTTTAGAATCTTTCTATTACACATAAATAAAAGTATTCTAGGAGACAGTACACAATCAAACAGTTAACAAGCCTATCGCAGTAGACTGCTGTGCATATTAATACCCAAAATAATCAAACATACACACAAAAAAACTTTTACTCAAAGAAATCCTTTCTAGTCTTTCTCTTAAGGGTAAAGGAATTCTTGCTGTAGAACGTCCAAAGGCCAGGTGGAAAGACGATTTGCTCAAGATGACTGGAAGTAGCTGGGTGCGAGAAGCCGAGGACAGATGTAAGTGGCTTGCAATCGGAGAGGCCTATGTCCAACTGTGGACTCCGATAGGCTAATGAGAGAAATCTTTTTTGAAGTTGGTCAAAATACGTACAGAAAATTCTTTATAGCCTTTATAAACAAAAGTAGCACACGGCAACAAATCATATTAATAAAATCTGATACATATATAAAATTCTCGTGTCACAATGTTAGTTACCAATATAGTCCTCCGAAACGGCTGGACCGATGATTATGAGATTTTGTGTGCACATCGGGTAGGTCTGAGAATCGGCCAACATCTATTTTTTTTTCAATATTTCCTAGAAGTATATGACAAAACAACGTTTGCCGGGTCAGCTAGTAAAAAATAAAAAAAACAACAATTAAAAATTGTGTTAATTTATAACAGTCCCGTATATGTTGACCTGTCAATCTTGTCATGGTACAGAAGTCTATACATTAACAGTAAAAGTTCAGCAGTCAAAACATAACGTCCAAAACAGTACAATTCGATCACCAGGCGATCTCAATCCATACTAATTTTAAATATTCGAAAGTATATCTGTCTGTCTGTCTGTTCATCACGCTTTAACTGCTGAACTGATTTAAATGAAATTTGATACAGAGATAGTTTGAGTCCTGGGAAAGGACATAGGATAGCTTTTATTCCAGAAATCATCCTTTAAGGGGGTGAAAAGAGGGGTGGACCAAAGAACAAATCAAACATTAAATGTTCATGCACACAAATGTTTGACTTGAGCGAGAATCGAACCCGCGACCTTTGGAATAGCAGTCCGTTACACAAACCACTACGCCAACCGGTCGTCGAGTTTAATATAAATATATCCAAGTCCCAATCGCGAACGAAAAAAGGAACACAACTTCATTACAGAACCAACTACGCATGCAATACAAATCATTCACTCACTTAGAGGCCGTTAGCTTCAATTGTGTATCTGTGGTGACATTCCAGGAAAATTGTAGAGGTTGTGACCAATCATAGCCAGTTTCCCGTAACAACTTAATGTGCAAAGAGAACAAGGGCTCACTGTCAGCTTCGGTACTTAATAGTTTGAAAACTGAGTAATCACAAAGTAACAATCTAATCTAAAGTGGTGACGGTTAAGAATAGTGTGTGTTACCACCCCTATTCATCCCGTGGGTGTCGTAACTAAGGTAGCAAAATAGACAATAGCACTGCAAGGAGAGGACAGCTTGACACAAACCGTACACCAAAACCAAGTAGGCCAAAACCTCCTTTCTAAGAAGAGGCCTATGACCAACAGTGGACTATTAAAGGCTGTTGATGTTTTTTTTAAAGACAACTGCCGCACTGGTACTACATACTGTGTCGCGGGGGACTTTACAAACATACATGAAACGGACACAAAGAACACCCAGACTCAGAACGACAATGTGTGGATCACACAAAGTGTTGTCCCATGTGGAGATCGAACCCACAATACGTAGTGAGAAGCTGCGTGGTGATCTCTTAAACCACTACGCAATCCCTGCAGTCATTCAGATTGATGAAGTAATGTTCAATCAGGTATGATGGTATTTTGTAGGATTTTTTAATATTTAAGCCTAATACTGGTTGGTTAATTGATTGATTAGCGATCCTGACTGCAAAGCCGAAGTTGTGGGTTAGATTCCCACCTAAAACTATTCCTGACATTATGCTGTGTCGGGGTTTAGTTTATCTCATAATAATAATATTTTCGGACATCTGACACACAATGTCATCTAGTTTCAAACTAAACAGAGCTTGTACTATGAAAGTTAGAATGACTGTTAGAATACTTAATAGTTTTTGTTTTTGTAAATACATACATATTATACATAGAAAATACCCAAACACGGAAACAAATATTAGCAGATCATACAAACATACCCGGGAATCGAACCAGAGACCTGAACAGAGCAGTCGCATACGCTTCCACGTTACTAAGTTCTTTTTTTTTATTAAAAAAATAATAATAATAATGATACCTAGATAGATGTTATAACCTTTTGCAGTAGAATAACTTTAGCGACATTTTTTACATGATATGTTTTTGACAGGATTTTTTTCAAATGGCGACCGTCTGTGATCTATAATGGTGGTATATGATAGACCCCGGCTATCTAAACGTTTAAAGCTATAGTTAACCTCCCAAGAAGAAAAAATAATCTATACAATTTTAATAACTGCATCAATAAGCGTCAATCCTAACAGTTTCGTGACGCCGCTCTGTAATTTCGCTAAACTCTATCATTTTGTGTTTATCTGTGTAATTTGGCTGGCTTGGCAAGATGGTGGCGCTTCCGTTTGTCTATTGTTGGACTTCCGGAAGATGATGTTTTGGTGAGATTTTTGTTTTTTATTTGGTAAACGCTATCTATTATAATAATAAACTTTATTTACACACGAATCGTTTTTAAGTTGTACCTACAATACAGGTATAGTGGTAACAATCAATAATACCTAAGGTTTTTTCTACATTGCCTTGATAAAACAGGAGCCGAAAATAAGTTTTAATTAAATTCTTATTTTGACAAATTTTAATGGGTTATTTAGTTAAAAATCTTCTGAATTCAAAATTTAAAGAAGCCGCTTAGGAGTCGCCTTCCAAAAAAGTATTATTTTTAAACAATCATCATAATCATCAAACTTTCTGCCTTTCTCTTGAACGACCAAAATTTCATTTCTAAGTAGAGGCCTATGTCCAGCAGTGGACTATTAAAGGCTGTTGATGATTAATTTATAGAAATCGCATACAAAAAACTAAATTGATTGAGTCAATTAATAAAATTTTATATAAATAACATGACATGTCTGACCAATTGAATGATTGCTTACGTTTAATATATTATGTTATTGTTACAACATTATGCTAATTTAATTAATCAATTATTTTGTTCCCCAGGCCACACACTGAGATTGCGTTTTTGTGAAATTAACTTGTTCTAGATTTCGGTGAAGACTTCCGAACATGGTAGCAATTTGTTTCTACCGGTTTAATAAAAACTTATATCTAATTTATATATACACACTAGCTGCGCCCCGCGGTGTTACCCCGGATTAGCAGTATTTCAATTCTCTGCTCATGATTTTTTCTGATAAAAAATTAGCCTATGTGTTAATCCAGACAACTCTAGACCTTCATACCAAATTTTATCAAAATTGATTCAGACATTTGAACTGGTTTCTGAGAGGGGATGATGGGTTAGTGGTAACCGAGTAGGTTAACACATTACGAAGTTAAGCAATCCTAGCAAGGTCAGTGTATGGATGGGTGACCACGTGCCTCCGAGAGCATGTTAAGCCGTCGGTCCCAGTTGTCACACGAACATGTGGCTAGTTCTAGGGTAGTTGGAGCCTTAAAAAGTTCGACAACAGTCTTTCTACATCATCATCATCAACAGCCTTTAATAGTCCACTGCTGGACATAAGCCTCTCCTTAGAAAGGAGGTTTTGGTCTTTCTACAGAACTTCGAAATCGCCTAGTACTTGGGTATAAATCGAAATTCGGCCGTATTGTAGTAGACTTAAGAGCTACCTACCCTCATTCATCCCGTGGGTGTCGTAAGAGTCGACTAAGGAAGCAAACTACTCAGGATAACAGCAGTGCAAGGAGAAGGAAATCTTGAAACAAACCCTATACGGACTCGACTGGCCAGCGTGGAAATCTCCTTCTAAGGAGAGGCCCATGTCCAGGAGTGGACTATTGGAGGCAACTGTTGATGATGATGAATACCTCATTTCTTGGAGTCGGTAAAAGGGAAACGAATTGCTCGCTACACCAATTTCGTTATTTATTAACTTAAATTAGTAGTAACACGATCAAATCGGAAAT